GCTGGGTACCAGTGCCTGGCCGCCCACTCGGAGTTACTCTGCTACTTCATCATTGTCCTCAACCACATGGTCACGGCCTCGGCCGCCTCGCTCGTGCTGCCCGTGCTGGTCTTCCTGTGGGCCATGCTGTCCATCCCGCGGCCCAGCAAGCGCTTCTGGATGACGGCCATCGTCTTCACGGAGGTGGGCGTCAGCCAGGCGGGGCCGGGTGGGGCCGGGGGCCGCGCCCTGCTGACTGCTGTCCCCTGCAGGTCACCGTGGTCACCAAGTACCTGTTCCAGTTTGGCTTCTTCCCCTGGAACAGCCACGCGGTGCTCCAGCGCCACGAGAACAAGCCCTACTTCCCACCGCGCATCCTGGGGCTGGAGAAGCGCGACGGCTACGTCAGGGGGGATCTGGCGCAGCTCATGGCGCTCTTCTTCCACCGCTCCCAGCTGCTGGTGAGCCCGGCAGGGTGCTCGCGCACGGGCACACATGCACTCACACGCACGGACATGCACGCACAGCCACGTGCACGTTAACACACAAGCACACTTGCACACGCGTGCATGCACACGTACACACGCACAGTACACTCACACACAACATATGCATATACACACACAAAAACACACTCAGTTGTTTTGAACCAGGAGGCAGGTTGGACATCTTACAGCCCAGGATGCACCTGGCCATCTTCTTGGTCTGAGCTCAGCCCAGCGGCACTATGGGGCCTCCTCACCCACCTCCCTCCCTCTGTCCCTCCACAGTGCTACGGCCTCTGGGACCACGAGGACGACCCGCTCTCCAAGGAGCACGACAGAGGCAGTAGGAAGAAGGGGGCTGAGGAGGAGCTGGCCCCACTAGGACCCCAGGAGGAGCCAGGGGTGGCCAGGACTGAGGGCGACATCCAGCTAGAAGTAAGGGACGGGCCCCCTGAGCCCCAAGACAAGAGGCGTATCAGCCTGCGTTTCCGGAGGAGCAGGAGGGAGAGCACAGAACCCAGAGGACAGGCAGCCGTGGGTACGAGGGCCCCCCTGCTGCCCCCCAACCCCGGACACCTGGTGACCCTCTGCTGGTCTATAAAGTGAGGCAGTGGCAGCCCTTTGGGAGGTCTCAGGAGGGTCAGGAGTCCGAGCCTGGCCCCACCCCGCGGGCTCTGTTAGCAGCAGTTGCTCCCCACAGACGCTGAGGACCAGGAGGAGGACGAGGCAGAGGCAGTGGCGGTGGCCTCAAGGAGGAGGAAGCAGCAGAGTTGCCCCCGGGAAAGAGTGAGGGCAGCGGGGGCCCAGCTGCAGAGCTGCTGCCTGTCCCTGTGAGTGACCCCGCAGGGAGCCCGGGCCGGGGGGTGGGGGGCAGCAGGGCTGCACTGAGCCAGGCCTGCCCACCTGCCCAGAGCCCAGGGCGTCTACCGGCCCCTGCGGAGGTTCTTCCAGGACATCCTGCACACCAAGTACCGCGCGGCCACCGACGTCTACGCCCTCATGTTCCTGGCCGACGTGGTCGATTTCATCATCATCATCTTTGGCTTCTGGGCCTTTGGGGTGAGCCGGGTCTCAGTGCCCCCGGTGAGCGCGGGGCCTGGGGGCCACCCCAACCCAGCACCCCTGACCTCTGCTCTCCCGGCCACAGAAGCACTCAGCGGCCACGGACATCACGTCCTCCCTGTCAGATGACCAGGTGCCTGAGGCCTTCCTCGTCATGCTGCTGGTCCAGTTCAGCACCATGGTCATCGACCGTGCCCTGTACCTGCGCAAGACCGTGCTGGGCAAGCTGGCCTTCCAGGTGGTGCTGGTCCTGGCCATCCACGTCTGGATGTTCTTCGTCCTGCCCGCCGTCACCGAGCGGTGGGTGTGGGCTCGGGAGTGGCCTGGACGCGCGTGCTGTGCGGAGCTCAGGGCTCTGCGGGCGCCCTGACCTGGCTCCCCACCCGTACAGGATGTTCAGCCAGAATGCCGTGGCCCAGCTGTGGTACTTCGTCAAGTGCATCTACTTCGCCCTGTCGGCCTACCAGATCCGCTGTGGCTACCCCACCCGCATCCTCGGCAACTTCCTCACCAAGAAGTACAACCACCTCAACCTGTTCCTCTTCCAGGGGTGAGCGTGGCTGGCCCGGGCGCCGGGGGCAGGGCAGCCCTCCCTCGGGCCCTCCTGATGGTCCCCGGCCTCGCGCAGGTTCCGGCTGGTGCCCTTCCTGGTGGAGCTGCGGGCTGTGATGGACTGGGTGTGGACGGACACCACGCTGTCCCTGTCCAGCTGGATGTGCGTGGAGGACATTTACGCCAATATCTTCATCATCAAGTGCAGCCGCGAGACAGAGAAGGTGAGGGCCGGCTGCTGCCCACACCAGCGTGCGTCCAGTGCATGCCTCTGAAACTTCCTGATGGCCAGAAGGGGCTTCCTCGAGGGGACGGTGGACTCGGCCATGTCAGGGCGGCCACCCACAGAGAGGGCCCCCAGTCACAGGCATGGGGAGCAGGGTGCACGGTAAAACATGAACCAAGTGTTTCTTAGCAGCTACTGTTGTAATTCACGCAGCTGCCCCTGTACCGTGCACAGCTGGGTGGTTCCTAGTGCACCCAGGGTTGCACGCCCGCTGCACAGGAAGCAGCCCCACTCACACTGGCAGCCACCCCCCCCACGCGGACTTGCCCATCCCCGGTGTCCCACATGCACGGCAGCACACGGCACGTGGCCTTTGGTGACTGTTTCCCTCTCGCAGCACGGCGCTCTCCAGGCGCACCCACCTTGCAGTTGTGTCAGAATTCTCTTCACAGCTGAGTAGCTTTCCATTGTGACAAGTCTCAGCTGTGAGAGATGCTGCTGTGGCCATTCCGTCCAGAGCCGCGGCCATAGGTCCCCATGGCTCCTGGGTACACAGCTCAGAGTGGCTGTGGTGCCAGCCCCTCCACCCCCGGGCTCGGCGTCCAGGGACGGGTGGGGCCGTGTGGGGGCTCCAGTCTTGGCGCCAGGCCCCTTCCTGTGCTTGGCCGCTTGCGTAGCTTGTCTGGAGAAGTGTCTGTTGAGGTTTTCGCCAGGTCTTCACCGGGTGGTATCTCACCGTTGTGAGAGTTCTTTCTGGAGCTTGCACACTAGGTTCTTTCAGACAGATTTGCCCTGAAGAGTTTCACCGTTTTTTGGTCTCCTGTTTGAGTTCACTCTGGCCGAGGGTTGAAGGCCCAACTTCACATTTCGGCGTGTGGGTGTCCGGCCATCCTTCCCTCTGGGTGGCCTGGGCACCTGGTCCCCACGTGGGTCTGGCTCTGCAGGGCCACGTAAGGACAGAGGCCCACTTGGCGGGTGACCTGCATCCCCCCTCTGCCCCCCAGAGATACCCACAGCCCAAGGGGCAGAAGAAGAAGAAGGTGGTCAAGTATGGCATGGGTGGCCTGATCATCCTGTTCCTGGTGGCCATCATCTGGTTCCCGCTGCTCTTCATGTCCCTGGTGCGCTCTGTGGTCGGGGTCGTCAACCAGCCCATCGACGTCACTGTCACCCTCAAGCTGGGCGGTTACGAGGTGAGCAGCCTCACCCCCACCTCAGGTGCCCTCCCCTCGAGATCGTGAGGGGCTCTGTGTGACGCTGGTGGCCTGGGGTCCAGAGGCCCCGGCGCCACATCACTGCGTCCCCACCACCAGCCCCTGTTCACCATGAGCGCCCAGCAGCCATCCATCGTGCCCTTCACCGCCCAGGCCTATGAGGAACTGTCCCGGCAGTTTGACCGCGACCCAGTGAGTGCCCCCGCCACATGCGGCTGCCAGGGGTGGGGGTTGGGGGGGCCGGGCTGCCCCGCTGAGGTGGCTGCCCCCCACGTCCAGCTGGCCATGCAGTTCATCAGCCAGTACAGCCCCGAGGACATCGTCACAGCGCACATTGAGGGCAGTTCCGGGGCGCTGTGGCGCATCAGCCCACCGAGCCGGGCGCAGATGAAGCGTGAGCTGCACAATGGCACCGCCGACATCACCCTGCGCCTCACCTGGAACTTCCAGAGGTGCGTCCAGGCTCCAGGGGAGGGGGGATCAGGGGCCACCCAGCTACACTGAGGGTCACACAGCACCCCTGCCCCAGGGACCTGGCCAAGGGCGGCACTGTGGAGTACACCAATGAGAAGCACACTCTGGACCTAACCCCCAACAGCACCGCCCGGCGGCAGCTGGCCAGCCTGCTGGAGGGCACCTCCGACCAGTCCGTGTGAGTAGGGGGTGGGCGGGGGGGCCATGGTGGGGGGCAGGGCCAGGCCTGACCTTCTGGCCTCCTCCCTATAGGGTCATCCCCCACCTCTTCCCTAAGTACATCCGTGCCCCCAACGGACCTGAAGCCAACCCCGTGAAACAGCTACAGCCCAGTGAGTGAGGTGGGGACATGGGGGTGGGGGTGCTGGCCTCAGCCTGGGACGGGTAGGGACCGTGACACCTCCTGGTTCCCACCCAGAGGAGGAGGCTGACTACCTCAGTGTGCGCGTCCAGCTGCGCAGGGAGCGTGTGGGCTCGGGGGCAGCTGGCTTCCTCGAGTGGTGGGTCATCGAGCTGCAAGACTGCCGAGCCAAATGCAACCTGCTGCCCATGGTCATCTTCAGTGACAAGGTCAGCCCACCCAGCCTGGGCTTCCTGGCAGGCTACGGGTGAGTGCGGCGTGCAGTGGGTCAGGCCGGGGCGGGGCCAGGGAGGAGGCCGGACTCTCACTGCCCACCCGCCCGCCCGCAGCATCATGGGTCTCTACGTGTCCATCGTGCTGGTCATCGGCAAGTTTGTGCGTGGCTTCTTCAGCGAAATCTCGCACTCCATCATGTTCGAGGAGTTGCCGTGCGTGGACCGCATCCTTAAGCTCTGCCAGGACATCTTCCTGGTGCGGGAGACGCAGGAGCTGGAGCTGGAGGAGGAGCTGTACGCCAAGCTCATCTTCCTTTACCGCTCACCCGAGACCATGATCAAGTGGACCCGTGAGAAGGAGTAGGGCCACTCCGGCCAAGGCCACCAGCTGACCTGCTCCCGGCCCACGAGAGCTGCTACTGTGCTGTCGGGAGTGAAGCCGCAGCTCCCCCGGCCTGGCGCAGGACTGCCGCCCCTGCCAGCCGTCCCTGTGGGGCCCGGCGCTGCCCAACACCACACACGGCCAGAGGCCCGGCCCTCCCTGCCCCAGGCGTACTGTAGAGTTTTCTAATTAAAACGTTTTTATTTATACATGTGGACAATCACAGGCAGCCTGCCTGTCCTTGCCTGCCCGTTCCGTGCAGGGTGAGGCCCAAGCGCTCTCACCTCAGCTCCCACCGGGCAGCACCTCATCATCGTGGTCCCCCAGCAGATATGCTTGGATCTCCTGCTCGCCCCCAGCCCTGAGGGAAGCCACACGGGAGGAACAGTCCCACAGGTTCACACACCCAGAAGCCTCCCCCCACCGCCCCGGGCTCCCCAGCAGAGCGAACAGTACCTCTGGCTGCGGAGCTGGGCCTCAGCCAGGATGTAGGGCGGCAGGGAGTCCAGGGAGGGCTGTAAGAGAGCCGGGATGGGTGAGGGCCGCGTGGGGCAGGGTGGGGCTGGTCCAGGAGCTGGGAAGGCGTCCACTCACCAGGTCCCTCGCGTTCACACGGCAGCCATAGCACAGCTGCTCCACCACACAGGCTCGGGGGTCCTCCCTGCAGGCAGAGCTAGACCTGTGTGCCTGCTCTCGCCCTCAGTGAGTATCCTGGGGGCCACCCCCACCCCGTGCGGCTGCCAGGTGCTGACCACAGTGGGGACAGGAGGACAGGACGAGGCAGGGACTTACCTCGCACAGCAGCCTTGGGCACCGCCCAGCCCCGGACAACAGCAGAGGGTGGTGGGCGTCCCGGCCTCAGCTTGTGGGCCGGGGGCCTGCATCTGGGAGAGATGTGATGAGGTCTGAGCCCCAAAAGCCGTGGCACTGTCTGGAAGCAGAGAGAAGCTAAGGGGGCCCCGAGGGCTACAGAACCCTAACACCCACCCGTGCGTGGCCCTCCCCCGAGCTCCCACGGAGGCCAGGACAGACCAGCACTGTCGACGTCCAGGGTGCACAGGCAGAGCAGGCAGCGGGGGCCAGGGGGGCTGGCAGCACAGCCTTCCCTGGGGGCCTTGACCAGCTTCTCACTTGTCCTGGGGGGGGGCGGGGGGCAGGGCACTGAGGCACAGCTGGCTGGGGGCCTCCACTCTCAGCTCCTGTCCCAGGTACTGGGATGGAGGGCTTGGAGCCCACACACCCACACACACACACCTGTACACGGTGCTGACGGTGGAGGGGAACTGGGCCTGCAGCCTGAGCAGGAAGGCTTCCATCAGCCGGTGGATGCTGGCCTTCTCGGGGGCCTGGAGCAGACGGGTTGGGGGCCCCGGTCAGAGGGGCAGCCCCCAGGCCTGTTCAGGGGCCACCACTTCTAGGGGGCCACCACTTCTAGAGAGCCCTCACTGTCAAGCACAGATGCTGTTAAATAAAGCACCCAACACAGGTCATCCTGTCCCACTGTCCCCTCGCCCACCTCTGTGACGCCCAACGGGCACCCCCTTCCTCAAGTCTGTCCCCCTAGTGTGCGCTCCACTGGGGCACCAGGTGGAGGCCACCCCGCCGACCCCAGCCCACCTTGGTGTCGACGGCCGGTGTAAAGACAGACGGGACGGCAAACAGGCGGTTGTAGAAGGCGACCTCCTTCAGCGTGTGCTCACGCATTGGCCGCACCACCACCACATCACCATGCCGCTCGTCCGAGAAGCCCTGGGGGAACAGCGTTCCTCAGGACACTCAGCTGACTGGCTCACAGCTCCTCTCTTTCCCTGCCAGCTGGCGGGGGGTCTTTGGCCCCACCCCCACCCCGTGGGAGACCCCAGGACCACTTCATGAATCAAGTGACAGGGGACAGAAGGGTGAGGGTGGGGCCAGAGCAGCCGTGTGCACACCGTGTCCCAGGCGAGGAAGGCCCCTCTCCCAAGTGCCAGGCTGGTCATGAGCTTCACGGCCAGGCGGGTGCAGCTGTCCCCCGCCATCACCTTAGAGTAGCCATGAGTCCGGGCCACGTGCAGGATCAAGTGGGTCCTGCAGAGCACGGCAGGAATCTCAGGGTGGGTAGGACCAGGACCCCGGGGGGAGGGAAGAGAAGGTCTCAGGAACTTGGTGGGGGCGGTCAGGAAGGGACCCCGGGGCAGTGGAGGGGGCTCACCGCAGTGTCTGCAGAAGCTCCTCCTTGGCCGTCAGCGTCTTCACTGAATCGAACAGTCTGGACAGAGCCTCAGTCTGCACAGCTGTGGGGGGCCCGGCCAGACTCTGGGGGCCCTGGGGGCGGGGCTGGCTCCAGGGCTCCTCCCCCCCTGCCCCCAGCACACACTGTTGCTGGAGGAAACTGTCCACGGCCGCCTTGTAGGCACCCTCGGTCCCCACCGACTCTGGCTCCCGGGCAAAGCAGCGTAGCACAGACGGCGGCAAGCCAAACACCTGGCGGGTGGATGGGGAGAGCGTGAGGCCCGGCCCTCCACGTGGGGAAGCAGGCCTTTGGCCCTGTGGACACTGAACAGGCACCTCCAGGGCTCTTGAGCAGGGATGGGCCGCCCACCTCTTCCAAGGCGATGACATGGCTCGGGAAGCCGACATTCTGCAGGACTTGCTCTACCTCCACCAGAGTTCTGGCTCTGTCTTCGGGGCTCCGGCCACAGGCTGCTCCCTCTGGAAAATGCAGAGTAACCACTTTACAGAAGAGGCGCACGCGGGCGGTCAGGGCCGCCACCACTGTGCCCGTGGAGGGGTGGGCAGCAAGTCCTCTCGAGGCCGCTGGGGGCCAAGCCGTCTCCTTGGGGGCGTTTTCAGGGTAGTGGGTTCTCTGACAGTGGGGTGGGAAGGCCCCCTCTGGCTGTGCATTCGGAGTTCTCACCAAGTGCCCCTGGCCCCGTGGTGAGACCTCAGACAAAAGCAGGGCGTTTTGCTGAATCCGGGCGCTAAGTCCAGGGGAACGCCCCCACCAGGGCCCTGCACAAGCCCAGTGCCAGCAGTTGGAGGGGCCGCCCCGAGCGCCAGGGCCTGGGGACAGATACAGACACGTACCGTCGACGTAGATGACTCCTGGCACAAAACGCAGTCTCTTGGCAGAATCTCGACTCAGGCCCTGGAGGGGACAGGACAGGACTTCAGCTCTGCGGCCAGAAGCCACAAGGCGCTGCTGATGGTCTGCTCCCTGTCTGGAAAGAGTACCCTCCTGGACTGCGCTGGTCAGGCCGCTCAGCCCGGGTGCCAGGGAGGCCAGGGGGAGTGGTGGAGAGCGCACAGCAGGACGACGTGCTTCAGAGCAGCCCCGCCGGGAGCGCAGGAGCCCCACAAGTGAACCCTGCCCTTGACAGCCTCCCAGCAACATCCCCAGAGAGGCAGCTGGGTTCCACATGCTCCCCAAGCCCCTGCCTGAGCCCCTCAGACTGCTCAGAGAAACAGACAGTACAACAGAAACGAGGTGTCTCTGGTTGAGGGGAGAGCAATGCACAGGGCACGGCAAGGAGCTGGAGAGGGACGCCGACCTCACACCACCAGGCCAGGCTCAGGGCACGGCGAGGAGCTGGGGAGGGGCGCCGGCCTCATACCACCAGCCCAGGCTCAGGGCACGGTGAGGTGAGAGCAGAAAGCCAACCACAGAAGCACTGCACTGCCCGGAACCCCTGGTACAGATCACACCGTGGCCCCACACCGGGAGTCAGTGCAGGGGTCTGTGTGTCACACCCTGAGCAAGGTCTCCAAGGTGTCCCCTTGCCGTAAGCAGGAGCCCACTTGCCTCCAATGCCCTGAGCTGGGCCTGGGGATGCACTGGGCACAGCCCCACACTCCCCACCAGCCTAGACCTGAGCTGTGCTCCCGGCTCATACCTGCACCCCACCCAGTAGCACCCCTGCGCATGCGGGCCTCCCCTGTATCTTCTCAAGGAAGCCACGTGACCCACACCAGGGCCCATCCCCTTGACGCCCCCAAAACACCTCAAGCATCACTCTGCCAAGGTGCCACACCCATTTTCCAGCCAGTCATAGTCAAGCAAAGGGACGGTGCCAAGCTGGGACACAGCTTCCAGGTCGTGCGCCTCCTGCATGACCCTTGGGCTCCCAGCTGGGGAGTGGGCTGTCAGTGCCAGCCCCCGACCCTGGAACTTGGCCAGATGGCATCCTGGGTGCAGGAAGAGGTAGAGACTCACCTCCAGGACCTGCCAGACCATGGAGCTGGACGAAGGTCCCCCGGACCATGCCAGGAGCACCTGGGGGAGACAGAACATCGCTGGAGACGCTGCACCCACAACATGAAGGCCCACGCTGCCCATGGACATCCCTCCCAGACATGAGTCCGTCCCCATAACCCACAGGTGTGCGCAGGGGAGGGGCTGGAGGGGTGTGGCTGGGACAGGCCACGTGCAGGAAGAGGTGCCCCATACCCTACCTTTTCTCCCGGAAAGATCAGTCGGTTCTTTCCAAGCATGGCCCTGAACTTGTGGACGTAAAACACCTTGAAACAGTCCCTGTAATACAGACCACCAGGAGCTGTGGCAACAGGGCCTCGACCACCAGCTGCCACCAGGACAGGGAAGCGCTGGGCCCCACGTGTGGGGCTGCAGCCCGAGGCTCTGCCAAGCAATGTTTTCTTTCAGCAAAGTCAGCTGTAAAAGCAGTGTCTCGGAGGGAGTGTGCAGCTCAGCGGCAGAGTGCCTACCTAGCGCACGTGAGGTTCTGGGTTCAATCCCCAGTATACCTCCACTGAGTAAGCAAGAAAAAGCACTGTCTCAGCCCTGAGGAGATCTGAAGCTGAGGGGTTCTCACCAGCTGTGGCTGCCCCACAAGGAGCCCCATGCTACACGGGGAGGCCTGCTTAGGTCCCCGCCCCCCCACTTGTAACCAGTGTGAACCACTGCCTGAGGGGCCGGGGGCCCAGGCACCACTTGCACTGCAGCCCTGGGGAAGGGCCAGCTAGTGGGAGAGATGGGCGGATGGACACAGGCTCATACAGGGCAAGGCCACCCCGACCCTTCCCTAAGCAGAGCAGGTGACCCCGTCCCGGAGCCCCAGAGGGAAGCACACCACCTTTGGGGGTACAGGGCAAGCACTGAGCAGGCTGTGGGGTCAAGCGACGAGTGTCCTAAAGCCTCACACTGGCCTCTCGTGTGGTGAGACCATCTGGACCAGAAATGCCTGGGAGGCTCCCACAAACACAGAGGATGACAACTTCCAGGGCAGGGCCTGGGACTCTGCATTCTTGGTAAACCTTCTAGCTGACTAGGTCAGAGGCTGTTGGCCTTGGCCCCACATCAGAATTACTCAGTCCGGCAACATCAGGGTGTGTCAGGTGAGGCCCAGGATCCCACAGGTTTAAGTTTCCCAGCAACCCCAGCAGGCAGCCAAGGTGGAGAACGTTGCCCAGGACCCCCAAGTCTACTTCCTGCTTCCTGTCCAGACATGCTGTCCCCCAACACCAAACACCCAACAGGCCTTTGTGTGCAGTAACTCAATTCAGTGCCTAACGGCAAAATGCCAGGGCCCCAGGTGACCAGCCACAGGAGTGACTCCCAGGTCAGGGCCGGGTAGGCTCCTTCAGCAGACACAGGTGCTCCCAGCATGCACGGGGGCCCTGGGGCTGCTGCATCGGCATCCTCCCTGCCCTGCCGGACTCCTGAGACCACTCTCTCCCGCAAGTCAGGCGAGACCAGGACCCTCACCTTCACTGAGAAAACCTGCTCAAAACCTAGATTCCTGCTGCCCAGACCAGTTTCCCACTTTTTCTCTGGACCAAGCAAGCACGGGCAGGGGGGCTGTGGACCTGGAAACAGACTGCAAAGATCGACATTTCTAGATGCTCTTAAGTGGTTAAAGCAGTGGCTTTTTTGCTTAAAATGTATCCTGGAGACACACACCAAGCTCACTGGACACCTAAGAGGTGGGCAGAGACCAGAACGTTTTGGGAAGACAACTTATTCAGTCCTTTCAGTTTCTCTTCGGGAAACATCCACAAAACAGAATCCAATACTCTTGGAGACCAATTTAAAACGTGAGCCAGTTGCTCACTCACGAAGTACTCAATGCTGTAACAGAGCCTGCAGTGCCACCAGGAACAGGGATAAAACCGGAGACGGGCCCTGCCCTCGGGGAGCTATGAGCCAGTGAACGTGCTCAGACACTGGCCGAGTTAGGATTCAAAGGCATCTCACAGGGCCACAAGAGCGCTTCAGATATAATGGAACACGCTCACGCCCAGGCGTCTCTGGGAACAGGCCTCTCTGCTCCTGTCCAGAGGCCCCCAGAGCGAGGGGAGGCTGGGGCCCTCCTTCCACCCCACCATCTCTCACAAGTAAAACAGGTATCACCTGGAGCGCCTGCCAGAGACGCCAGGACGCTCTAATCTGCCCTTGATGTGTTCCAGCTGCCCCAGAAAAGCTCACCTCGCCTGCACCACAGACCACTTTCACTCCCAACTCTCCCCATGAGCTTCATCAGTGTCTTCCTGTCACCTGTGGCACAGCTCGACGATGTAGTGGTACTCAGAAAGCCGATCAGGAAACCAATCCCCCTCCACACACACAGCACCAGAACGTTACAAGCAAGGGCAAGGTGACGAGATGCTTTCAAAGGCAAGAAACAAAGCCACAGAAACCGTGGCAGTTGTGGCTGCTGAATGAGGCTGCGTTTGCTGGGTCTCCTCACGCCAGGCCTCACCTGCAGAAGGCATCTCCTGCTCGAATCACCACCACAGGTGGGCCTTCCTTGCACTTCACACACTTCTGCTCACGGCTTTGGAGACATGAGGGGAAGAGAACAAGAACACAGATTACACCCCCTCCCAGGGGCGTCAGGCACACGGTGGCCTGTTTTCCACCCCACGCTGGTGTACTAGAGAGATCATATGGCAGGCTGCACCACACAAACCAGGGCTTGTAACTTATCTACACTACCACTGTGAGGAAAAACCAAGGCCCTAGGAAGACTACAGCCTGTTAAAGTTGGCTCAGTGGGCACGTAAAGACCAACTCAGTTTCTCAAGGGCCGAGACAACAAGAGATAACTTGCTCTGTGCGATCCTGGAGAGGAATGGAGCCAGCGAGTGGAAGCGACAAAAAGGCCGACTTTCCTGTAAGAGTAGACAGCTTGGTCAGCGGCGGACCTGCCCCACTGGCTACACGAATTGGAGGTGCAAGCGCGCAGATGGAGCTCCTTCCTGGGGCTTCACCGCTGGCTTGACAGACACTCCCTGGGTGCTGCGGAGCGAGGTCCAGCCCCCGCCTTGAGACTCCAGGGCTCCTGGGCCCCGCCCTCGGGGTTACCCGGGCTTCCCGGAGCGCGGCCCCCGGGACTGACGGAAAAACGCGGGCTGGACCCTCGAGACAGGGCTCGCCGCCGGCGGGAACGGCCGCCCAGCTCTTACCCGGGTCGTGTCAGCGGCGGCTCCTCGGGCGCGGACGCACGGTAGTCCTCGCCCACCTCGCACATGGTTGCGCCGGCTTACTCTGTACGCGGCGGCGGAGCGCACCCTGACT